TTCTGGATACATTTACTCCAGTGGTGCGATTCAATTTTTTTTACCACCCCTGACTGTTCCCGCCCCCATCTATTCTCTGCCTCTCAAGTCCCAGCTGATCAGGAGGGAATAGGAATTTTGCAGTACCCTCCCCCGGGGGTGGGGGGGGAATGAAAATTTTACAGTATCCTTCCCCTGCCATGCCCACCAAGCCACACCCACAGAACTGGTAGTAAAAAAAATTGAATCGCACCACTGGAGTAAATGTATCCAGAATGAGAGTAAAGATTGTTCCAGTTACATATGAAACACAGAATAGGAGGAGAACTGCTGGCAATGAATCAATGATTAAGGTAATATCACAAATGAAACATTTCAGAGATTAAGCTGAAAATGCTCAGATAAAAGTTTTTTATTTCCAAAGCTGATTCCCTAATTAAATTGTTTTTAGCTTTTATTTGCAAAAAGGAAAAATGCATACAGCCACTTTCCCTCCTCTAAAAGAATGGGAATATACTATATGCCTCTTTCAAGCTAATTTCTCCTACATCTGAAGAATGGAACATAGTTCATGGCAGTAAATACCTATAATCAGCATAACATGGGACACTTTCATGTAATAGACAGATGACAAATAGAAAATCATCCCCTAACAGCAATGTTTTATGCTCTATACACCAAGACCTGCAACAAGCCTATGTGTTTTGTACCTGGATCGTCTTCTTCAGCAAATGCCACAATGTGAATTCCATCTAGATCATCCTCCTATATGCAAGAAACATGTTATGATGAGTCCATCATTAATTGTGAAGTATACAATACCACCAAAACGTACATACATCACACATTGCTCTTTCATGGTTCGAAATTGGCTTTACAAGATAGAGAAACAGATAAACTTAGAAAGAAAAGGTAGAACCAAAGGTACTGGTTATGTATATCCTGAAAAAGAGGAGACCATAGGGAGAGTTGGAAGGAACCTTTGAGGTCTTCTAGCCCAGCACCCCGTTCAAGCAGGGGACCCGATACCATTCTAGATAAATGGTTGTCCAATCTTTTCTTAAATATCTCCAGTGAACACCACAAGTTCTGGAGGCAAACCATTCCATTGTTTTCACTGTCAAAAAAATTCTTTTCAATTTTAGGTTGGCTCTCTCTTCAATATCTTCCATTACTTACTTTCGTTATTTCTTGCTCTGCCCTCAGGTGCTTTGCAGAATAGGTCAACCCATGATTTTTACATATTGCTTTCATGTCACTCCTAGTCCTTCTCTTTGCTAAACTAGGTATACCAAGTTCCTGTAACTGTTGTTCATACACTTTAATCTTCAGACTCCCTCATCCTCTTTGTTGTTTTTCTCTGTACTTTTTCTAGAGTTTCAATATCTTTTTTTGTATCATGGTAATCAAAACTGGATACGGTATCCCAAGTGTGATCTTACCAGTGCAATATAAAATAGTAATAGCATTTCATACGATCTTGATACTATCTCTCAGTTGATGCAGCCTAGGACTGCATTGGCTGTTTTGGCAGCTGCAGCACACTCATACTTAAGCAGTTGCCACTAGGACTCTTACTGCCTCACTGCTGTTGAGCCAGATACCAGATATTCTATACCTGTGCATTTGATTTTTCTTGCCACTTTTCTCTCCTCTGAATTGCATTTTGCTGGATAGGGCCCAGTGTTGAAGTCGGTCAAGGTCCATATGAATCTTGAGTCTATCTTCTAAAATGTTGGCTATCCCCCTCCCTTGGTGTCATCTGCAAATTTGGTGTTCCCCTACTATCCCCTCATTTAAATCATTTATAAAAATGTTGAAGAATACTGGGCCTAAGACAGAACCTTGAGATACGCCACTGTATGCTTCCTTGCATTTAGAGGACTACATCTTGAATGCAGTTGGTCTGCCAGTTGTGAATCCATGTGGTGATGATGCTGTCTATCCCACATTTTTCTATCTTATCAAAATTTGGACTGTGGTCTACTTTGTCAAATGCCTTACTGAAGTCTTTGAATATTAGAAGAGCTGTCTTGTATGACATTAAGCAGTTGCCCCGAAGATGGGGCAAGAAACCATGGATATTTAATTTAAATTACCCAGAAGTCAATTTCAATTGGACATTAAAAATTATGCCCAGCAGTGAGAGCTGTTTAACAATAGAATATTTTCTTGAGTGAATTCTCTTCACTGGAAGTTTTTAAACAATAGCAATAGCATTTAGCAATAGCACTTAAGACTTGTATACCACTTCACAGTCCTTCATAGCTCTCTCTGTGGTTTACAGAGTCAGCATATTGCCCCCAACAATCTGGGACCTCGGAAGGATGGAAGGCTGAGTTGAGGCAGTGAGAATTGAAGTGCTGGCAGTCGCCAGAACTAGCGTGCAATACTGCATTCTAACCATTGTGCCACCATGATTCAGAGGCTCAACAGAGGCTAAATGGCCATTTCTTTGGGAATATAAGTGGTGCACTGAGCTGGAGGTTCTTTTGAACCTAGATATTCTATGATTGCTTAAGTCATTGCAACCTGGTGATTAGAGGAATGAAATGAAGTTTTCACCTTCTGGATTAATGTCCAGTTATTTTGTATTAAACATTATTTTGTCATATAAGAGATATGGAGTTAAATAATAATAATAATAATAATAATAATAATAATAATAATAATAATAATAATAATAATAATAATAATAGGAGAAAAAAGTTTTCTGACAGTCAGAAGAATTAATCAATGGAATGGTTTACCTCCATTGATGTGGATGCTCTATCCATGGAGGTTTTTAACAAGAGACTAGTCAGCTATTTGTCTAGAATGGAACAGAGTCTCCTGCTCCAGCAGGGGGTTGGACTAGAAAACCTCCAAAGCCTCTTCCATTTCTGTTATTCTCTTTTCTGTATTCTGTAAAGGCGACTTGTGAAAAATTGATATTAAAAATCAAGTCTGGAACAGATTTTCTTCCACAAAAGTAGCATCCAAACCTTGGGCAGCTGGGTTCAGTGAAAATTATATTGGCAAAAGCCCCTGGAGTTGGCAGGGAGGATGTTTATTGTGCACCTGCTACAAACGTCATCTTGGAATTATACCATGGAAAACCCTCATGTTCCTTGTGTCCCACCAATCCCAGCTTTCAATTTCAATTGGTATTAATGCAAGAGGAAAAAAATCCATCTAAATGCTAATGTCTTTCCCCTCTGAGTCCAAAAGTGACAGAACCCCATAAAATGAAGAATTAAAAGAATAAGTGGAAAACATTGGTGGAGGGGTGGGAGAGAGAGAATGTAAGATCAAGGCTTCAGCAGGGGAATCAGAGTCTGAGAGGGATGTTTAGAGTAGATTTATGACTAAAATTGGAGCAAAAGTAGTCCAAGATAGTGTGGCCTTCTGCGCTTCTTTCTTGTTTTCCCAATACTCCCCCACTCAATCTCCAGCTGTCTTAACACAAGCACAATGCCAGAGTCGATAATTCATTAAACAAAAGACCCAGCTCTTCTCTCCAGTGCAGTGGAAGAAGTTTTTCTCCACATTCTTGTGAAGTGTATATAATTATCTACCAGAGACTATAAACTGTTGTTCAATTCAGTGGCAACAAAGCAAAATTCTATCTACTACACTGACATGCACACTCACAGTTGAAATGATGATTTAGTGAGTCAATCTACCCATTCCAATCCCTAAGTGAGCTATGCTGATTGACAACCATTCCAGATGTTTTGAGGCAAAAGTCCTACCAAGCCAAAAATCACTTAACTGGAAATGGTAGAGTTTGGACCTCAGACTTTCAGTATGCAAAACAAAAATACTTTGCCAGTGAGCTCAAATTACACTTTATGTGAATGGTATAACAGAAATGTTCACATTCTACGATCTGTCTTCTCCTTCCCATTCTCTTCTAGACACAAGTGAGACGGGTGGGTTCTGGAAGTCTCTACTGCCGGTTCGCTTGTGGATGCGCCACGCACGGGGGCTTGATGGGCGCTGTGCATGTATGCGCAGAGCAATGAAAATTGTTCTGCGCATGCACAGAAGGAAAAAGCAAGATGGTGCCACCATAGGCGCCACCTGGAGAACCGGTTTGGGGGCATGGCAGGCCTGGGTAGCTGCTGGTTCCAGTGACCCAGGCTGCCAAACCACTACCAGTTCGGCTGAACTGGTCCCAACCAGTAGGAACCCATCACTGAAGTGAGGGGGTAAATTAAGCCATCTCCATCTATGATTTTGAATGAAACTTATAGCTGCTATTTGTGTTAAGAAAAATGTGCTGCTATTCTTTCCCATTGGAAGTTTTTCCCTCTTTGTGTATGGATTTTCTACCTTCCATCTATGAAATTAACAGAAGGTACCAGACCCCTTCAGACAGCCCCTGGTAACATCCTCCCCATTACAGAAGCAATGCAGAGTATTCTTCATAAACTAACTAGTGATTTAAACAACAGAGCAAGAATAAAAGTTCGCAAGAAACAGTGTTCAGTCCATGTCTTTTTGAAGAAGTCTGGTGGTGGGAGAAAAAGCAAGTCCTTATCTAGTTTAAGAAGCCTGGCAAAAGGGTATCAAGGCATCATAGTTCAAAGGCACTTTCATGCAGTCCTTTGTTCCATTGATCCAGAAGAGAATCAGCTGCAGTTCCCAAGCTGATTCTCTTCTGGATCAATTGTTCCATTTCTCAATTTTTGATCTAAAATGCCGGAGCAACTTGGAGCTTGTAGACAAGACACTATCCTATTGGTGGGAAATGCTACTTCTCCCTCCCTTCCTCACCTTTAAGAAGCCATCTCAGGCCCCCAGGTGCCCTTAAACTAGATTTCTTGGTGGTAGCCAGCAATGTTTTCTTTTTTTTATTGTACCTCACTCCAATATAAGCACAGGTGAATGTTTGCAACAGCCGTATGAGGAACAACGAAGGAGAGAAAATGAAGCATCATAAAATAAATTCTAAGAAATCTGATGCAATGAAGACAGGAGCCACGGAGCCTTAACTTCAGCAAGGAGAGAAGAAAACTGAGGAGCCAGGGATGTGTTATTTATTGTGGGAAGTGGAAAGAGCCGAGGTGGCGCAGTGGTTAAATGCAGCACTGCAGGCTACTTCAGCTGACTGCAGTTCTGCAGTTCGGCTGTTCAAATCTCACCGGC